TTCATTTGTGGTGAAAAATTTCAAAATTTATCAAAGATAAGTCTGGCTGCCTTGTGGATCCAGAAACTGCTGGAATAAGCTCCAGACCTTCAAATTAAATTAAAATTTGTCTTTCCACATTGTCCCCCGAGAGGATTTTCCTCTTTTTTGTGCCTTTGGACTCTGAGAGGGAAAAAAATTGGGGAATTAAAGCTGTTTGTTATTCATGGGGAAAAAAAAGAGGCAAGAAAAGAAATTTTCTGTGCCAGGACTGGGATGAGCTGGAGGAAAATTCCTCCAGCAAAATTCCCAATTTTCCTGCTCCAGCTGGGAGCAAACCAAACTCCAAAGCCACAAATGAAGTGGCGGGGCCACAAATGAAGATGTAGATTTTTCAGAACCTCTTTTTCTGAGGCAAAGCCGTGCTTCAAAACAATCCTTAAAGCTGGCTTGAAAAATTTATGGCTGGTTTAAGCCAGCCTGGCTTTTGCTCAAGCTTTAATTTCTTCCTGCTCAAGTTAAATCCAAGCAGAAGATAAAGGCCACTGTAGCAGCCCTCCAAAAATAGGCTGCAAAAAATCTATTTAAATGGCTTTTTTTATTTAGTTGAACGATATATTTTTTAAACAAATGGCACTGGAGCAGGAAATTGATGTGTGGGCTAGTTAATTGTCAAATTATTTAATAAAAAGGCCTCTCTGTGCCCACTGTAAAGGATTTTTTTTTTTCCCAGTCACCACCACTCTGCTCTCAGCTTGCTTTGGCTCTGTGAGGGCACTTGTTGGAAATATAAGGTGGAATTAATTTTTTATTATATTATGGGGGAATTTCCTCCTTCTGCCCAATTCTGGTTGATGGCAGGGGCAGAAATGCCAGGATTTCCAGAGGAATGGGAACAAAAACTCCTTTGGAGGCCCTGGGAGCGGGCAGGAATATCCCAGGGTAAAGGGATTTGTGTTTTGAGGAGTGGGAGCAGCCCAAAATTAGTGTAAAATGGTCCCTTCAAAAAGAGAATATTGAGGCAAGAGCAAGAACAGATTGGTGATAAATCAGGATGAAATTTTACAAATAAATTAAAAATTAAAAATTTTATTTATAAATAAATGTTATCAATAAACCCGTGTTCACTGTGAATTTTTGTGTTTTGAGAATCCCTTGAATTTCAAATCCCACAACTTTCAAACTCAGTTTTCCAAATCTCTGCTGAAGGGAAAAATTTGGGATTTTGCTGATTAAACCTAAAATTAAAAAAACAACTTGGCCAAACCTTCTGATTTTCCTTGCACTTAGAATTTATAGAAATTTCCATGCACATGGAATTCAGTGAGTGCAGATTGACCATGAAGAATAAATAAGATTAAAACTGGTGTGACACTGCCAGTTCCCTCTTCTTATACGTGCTAAAGTCTGTTTAGTGTCCCAATGATCCCATAATTCTTTAATTGTCCCTAATAACTGGGTTAATATTAATAAAAATTCATAAAAATAATAAAAATAATAATGACTAAATAATAATAATGATAATAATAATAATAATAATAATAATAATAATAATAATAATAATAATAATAATAATAATACCACCGCCACCAAGACCTACAAGATCTGATGGCTTGATACCCCCTCCAAAAGAACAATTTCTGGGAAAAAAATGGAAAATTTTGGGAGCAAAAAATACAGGACAGGGAATTAGGGAATTTCTGGCTGGATGGGGATGCTCAGTGCTTTGGGATAATGGCACTGATGGAATGGATGGATTTGAGCAGGTAAAATCCTGAATCCTTCAGGAGTAAAAATTCAGGGTGAGAGAAACCCAGGCTGAAAAATGAGTAGAAAATAAGGTTCTTGTGGAGGGAAGTTTATTTATTATATTATTACTTATTATTATATGTCAAGCAAAGCACGATTTAAATGGATTTGAACATGAATTAAATGGTTTGGAACAATTAAAACTGTACCAGAACAGAGTGAACAAACAGCACTAAGAATGTTTCCTGCTCATATTTTTAAAATTAACAGGTAAAAAAAAGTATTTATGGTGGCTGTTGATTCCCAAAATTACTTTTTCTAGGAGGAACAGGGGTTTGGAAGTGGTTTTTTAGGGTTTATATCATTGTTTTCTCTACCCCTTGAGTTCTATTTTCCCTCATAGCCACTAATTTTAATATCACTGTTATAAACACACATCCAAAGAATTCCACTTTTTTTTTCAATTAATAATATTGATTACTACAAAAAAAAAAAATTAAGGTACACAAATAATCCCCACCATTAAATTCCCCCTTTTCTGTTTATGGGAACAGCCAAAAGATAAATAATTCAGAATATTTCAGAATATTCTCCTCTCTCTCACCTTCATCTCCTCTGCTGTTTGGGCTTTATTTCAATTCATTTATTTATTGATAAATGTTTGATACACAACTGTACCCTTCAGCTCCTTGCAAGTCTCATCCAGGGGTGCTGAAATTAATGAGGAATTTTTTTAATTGGACTTTGGCAAATTTAGGTCAGGTGCTACCGGTGAATTTCAGTTACAAACAAAGGCATGGAAAGCCAATTTCTAATTTAATTTCAATTTCTACAATAAATTCAGGCTCTTTGCCCCTTGTTCCTATCCCAAGAAGGTAAAAAAAAAAATTAGAAATGTCCATCTAAGAGGAAAGAAAAAAAAAAAACCATAAAACCCCCTCATAGTTGTGGTGCAGAACAGCAGTAAACTGAGTTTTATGAGTTCTATCACAACCATATAAAATGCTTTACTGAAAAGAGCACTGAGCTGGAAAAACTCAGGAAAAACTGCCCTGAATTCCATGTGAACACTCATAAATCTGCCCCCTTTCTCCTTTTTATATATTTTTATTTTTATTTTTATTTTTTTTTCCTCCTCCTCCAGTACATTTACCATAAACCCCCTGTTCAGATTTCTCTGCCTTTCATGGGCAGCCTCAATATCTGACACAATCTAAAGCTACCAGAGTCAAATTCTGAGTTTTATTTCAGATAATTGTAAAATTATTTAATAAAAAGCCCTTTCTGTGCCCACTCTAAAGGATTTTTCCTTTTTTAAGTATTTTTATTTTTATTTTTTTCTCCCTTTCCACTGCACTTACCATAAACCCCCTATTCCACATCAGATTTTTCTCCTTTTCATGTGCAGCCTCAGTATCTGACACAATCTGAGGCTGCCAGAGTCAAATTCTGAGTTTTATTTCAGTTAATTGTAAAATTATTTAATAAAAAAGCCTTTCTGTGCCCACTCTGAAGGATTTTTTCCTCTTTTTAAAATTATTTTTATTTTTTTTCCTCCTCCTCCAGCACATTTACCATAAACCCCCTGTTCAGATTTCTCTGCCTTTCATGGGCAGCCTCAATATCTAACACAATCTGAGGCTGCCAGAGTAAAATTCTGAGTTTTATTTCAATTAATTTCAAATTATTTAATAAAAGGCCTTTCTGTGCCCACTCTAAGGATTTTTTTCCTTTTTATTTTATTTTTTTTCCTCTTCCTCCAGCACATTTACCATAAACTCTCTGTTCCACATCAGATTTTTCTCCTTTTCATTGGTAGCCTCAGTATCTGACACAATCTGAAGCTGCCAGAGTCAAATTCTGAGTTTTATTTCAGGTAATTGTCAAATTGTTTAATAAAAAGCCCTTTCTATGCCCACTCTGAAGGATTTTTTCTCTTTTTAAAATTATTTTTATTTTTATTTTTTTCCTCGTCCTCCAGCACATTTACCATAAACCACATCAAATTTTTCTCCCTTTATAGGCAGCCTCAATATCTGACACAATCTCAGGTTCCCAGAGTCAAATTCTGAGTTTTATTTCAGATAATTGTAAAATTATTTAATAAAAAAGCCTTTCTGTGCCCACTCTAAAGGATTTTTCCTTTTTTAAGTATTTTTATTTTTATTTTTTTTTCCTCCTCCTCCAGCACATTTACCATAAACCCCCTGTTCAAATTTCTCTGCCTTTCATGGGCAGCCTCAATATCTGACACAATCTAAAGCTGCCAGAGTCAAATTCTGATTTTATTTCAGATAACTGTAAAATTATTTAATAAAAAAGGCTTTCTGTGCCCACTCTGAAGGATTTTTTTCCTTTTTATTTTTATTTTTTTCTCCCTTTCCAGTGCATTTACCATAAACCCTGTTCAGATTTCTCTGCCTTTCATGGGCAGCTTCAATATGTAACACAATCTTTTTTATTTTTATTTTTATTTTTATTTTTACTTTTATTTTTTTTTATTTTTATTTTTATTTTTATTTTTATTTTTATTTTTATTTTTATTTTTATTTTTATTTTTATTTTTTATTTTTTTAATTTTTATTTTTTTCTTCCTCCTCCAGCGCACTTACCATAAACCCCCTATTCCACATCAGATTTTTCTCCTTTTCATGTGCAGCCTCAATATCTGACACAATTTATTTTTTATTATTATTATTTATTTATTATTTTTATATTTTTTCTCCTCCTCCAGCACATTTACCATAAACCCCCTGTTCCACATCAGATTTTTCTCTCCTTCATGTGCAGCCTCAATATCTGACACAATATTTTTATTTTTATTTTTACTTTTATTTTTATTTTTATTTTTTTCTTCCTCCTCCAGCACATTTACCATAAACCCCCTGTTCCACATCAGATTTTTCTCCTTTTCATGGGCAGCCTCAATATCTGACACAATCTCAAGCTCCCAGACTCAAATTCTGATTTTATTTGGGTTTCAGGCCCTGCAATTTGCAATATTTTATTATTTATGGCCCTTCTGAAAGGTAATGAGCAGTAAAATACAATGAACAAGGACAGAAATAAATTCAGGCTGATGTGGTGGCAAGGAAAGGAAATTTGAGTCTTTTCCCAAAGCCCTTTGCAAGGAGAAAAAAGCTTCAAACAGCCCTGAAAAAAAAATAAAATTACTTTATATAAAAGCAAGGCATCAGTGTGAGGGTCCAAATGTGTATTTTGTGTTTTATTTTATTTTATTTTATTTATTTTTTAGGAGTCAGAGCACATACCTGGGACAGGCCAAGGTGCACAGATGCTGTTTCAGAAATGTACATTATTTTGCCATCGGATGCCACGACGAAAACAAAACCATCCAAAGTCTGAAATGAAGAGAAATGCACAGGGTGAGAAGCAAAAAATCTGTTTAAAGCATTTATAGTGGGGAAAAAAATGGATTTTTGGGGGATTATTTCTGACTTCAGCAGCAGCAAACAGCAAAATT